ACTTCCAAAAATGGTATACTACCGTAAAATTAATGTCCAATACATGTAATGTCCAATACAGTTTTTCACTGTATATAGTAGGGGAATTTACCGTTAACCATTTAACAGGATTTTACTGTAGCATTTTTACAGTCTTTTACCGTTAAATTCACGGTCATTTTTTACAGTGCAGGCGCACACATAGTCACGCATGGGAATACCAGCGTCCACCAGAGCCAGAGTAGCAGCATTCACACAAGCACTGTAGTTCCCACCGTCTGCCTGCAGAATCTACAGCACAGGACGAGAGACAAGGATAACGTGATGTGATCTGTACACTGTATTTTGAGTAGCTCTGGAAAGAGAGCATCTGTTAAGAAATGTCTTTACAAGTTCTATTTGATTTGTCAATCGCATTCATCTTTTAAACTAAAAAATTTATCAAAAGAACTAATTTGGAAGATAAACTCTGGGATATACATAAACCACTTTGCATTTTTGTGGGCAGTGCTACTGTAGTTAATGGGAGGTGAAGTAAGGTATTATAAATCAATAAAGACTCTATGGATAAATTGTGGAGACCACAGTGGGCCAGTTCTTGTAGGAAAAAACTTTCCTGTATTTTCCTGTAAGTTTTGTGTGTCCTTAGAGATATTTTTGTTTTTGATCATTTTGGTAACATTTTTTAGTACATTTTGTTAATGCAAACAGCATAAATTTGGTCAGATGTGTATTTTTTTTGGGTGAAATTCTACTATTTAACCCTCATTTTCTTTAAGAATCTATTTTACACTAAAAGTACAAAAAAAAAGTTACACTCAGGACATTAAGGAAAAGTGCACAATAAATGATGATGCATCAAAATTAATGTTGTTGCTAATCACTGACATATCCAAGACTGTAATAACTCCCAAAAATCCTGCTTAGCATTGACAAATAATTGATGTATTGTGTTTTTCATAAAAAAAAACAAAAGTGGCATTATGTAAACAAACTGGCATTTAAAGGGTTAAAATTCTTAAAATGAATGAATTTTTGGTAGTTATGATTAGGACTGATGTTGGTAAAAAAAAAATATTAATATATAATATCCAGTTACTAAAGTTTAGTAAAGTTGGACACACACAATTAGCACTTCTAGATTAGACAGACGGATGATGGATGGATGGATGGATGGATGGATAGATACCTTAACGTAGATGTCGATTTGTGATCGTGGGTAGAGCTCGGTGAGCACCGCAGCTTCAAAGGTCTGTTTGAGATGAAGGCTCATCTCGCTGGACTTGCGGTCTCCGTGTGGACGTCTCTTCCTCTCAGCCGTGCTGAACTGACAGTTAATGACTGCACGATCATGCAGCGATTTACTGCGAGAGCCTCGCGTCTACAGGGAGGTGGGAAGCTTTGTTATGATACAATAAACACAGAGGATAGTATGGATAAATGACACAAAACAGAAGGTTTTTTAAAGGTGTCTGGAGCAGAATTTGTTTTTGAGTAACTGTTGACACACTGTCCTACACAATAGAAGTAATCAAACCAACAAAAGAGCAATCATTTGTAAGTGCTGTGACAAGTCCTGATTAGTCTAACGCAGTACAAGTTATTATTATTTTAATAATAATTAAAAAGAGATAGAATAGAAATAGAATACAGAGTGCTGATGTTAGAGGGTACATTTTTTAATAAATAAAAAGAAAACAGGTAGGCTAGATAGAATAGAAATATAATAGAGTCTTGGTGTTAGAGGATCAATTTTCTAATAAATAAAAATAAAATGGGTAAATAGAAATATAATAGAGAGTGCTGGTGTTAGAGGGTCAAGTTTTTTAATAAATAAAAAGAAAACAGGAAGATAGAATAGAAATAAAATAGAGAGTGATGTGTTAGAAGGTCAAATTTATTTTTTATAAATAAATAAAAAGAAAACAGGTAGGCTAGATAGAATAGAAATATAATAGAGTCTTGGTGTTAGAGGGTAAATTTTCTAATAAATAAAAAGAAAATGGGTAGATAGAATAGAAATATAATAGAGAGTGCTGGTGTTAGAGGGTTAAGTTTCTTTAATAAATAAAAAGATAACAGGAAGATAGAATAGAAATAAAATAGAGAGTGATGTGTTAGAAGGTCAAGTTTATTTTTTATAAATAAATAAAAAGAAAGCAGGTAGATAGAATAGCAATAGAATAGAGAGTGCTGGTGTTAGAAGGTCAATTTTTTATATAAATAAAAAGAAAACAAGTAGATAGAATAGACGTAGAATAGAGAGTGCTGGTGTAGACAGTCAAAGTGTAGATGGAAGAGATTTGAATATAATTCACCAAAAATCAAACAGTAATCAAATAGTAAATAGCAACCACTGCAAATACCACATTATAAGAGTATTATGACATACTCATTATGAGTTTACAAAACACATTAAACCAAAACAAATATGGGAACATATGATTAATAAAAAAAACATCTGTATTTAAAAATATAATATTGTATGCAATAATTAAAACTTAGACTGAAAAATGTTAGGCTCATTTTGAGAACAGAATATTGTACGTGCTTTCTGCACATGTAATTTTTTTCATATCTGGTAAGCGTGGTAAGATACGTGTTTGTTAAGTTACTTCGTTATAACAACTGTACAACTGTGTTGAAAATAAATGCTGTTCTATAGTTCTATAGTACACACGAACTTCAGCTGATATGTTCGTATCGATCAGTGATGCGCTCACCTCGTGCGGTCCGTACACCACAGCCAGCGCTTTAGTGCTGCCCTGCTCCAGTCCGCTTGCGCTTTCCGCAGCTCGGACGCTATCCCTGCTCTGACAGCAACTCGTTCTAGAAACCAGAAACACGCGTGGACTTCTCAGATCTTCTTGCGTTGTTGATTTTCGTCTCCGAATGTAAACAGCTCCGCCTGCTGGGCTCCGCTAATCTACGGGACTACAAGAGCACATGGTGAGAGAACAAGGTAAAAACACTGCAAAAAATGATTTTCTCACTTAGATTTTTTGTCTTGTTTCCAGCCAAAATATCAAAAAATTCGGAAATCAAGAATCTAGACAAGTAAAAATTATTGTCTTGTTTTCAGAAAAAAAAACGAGTCAAAATTAAGTGAGTTTTTGCTTAGAACAAGCAAAATAATCTGCCAATGGGGTAAGCAAAATAATCTTATTTCAAACAGAAAAC